TTGATTTCACATTGCAAGGCTTGGGTGCTCAAAACTTCCCTGTGAGTCCAGACACTGGGTGGCTGAGGGGCAGGGGCAGCAGGTCCTGGGAGAGAGTGGAGGGGCCGGAATCCCCACAGTGGGCGTGGCTCCAGGACCATAGCCCTCCAGCTGCCTGGAGCCGGACACTGTGCAAAACAGCCTTGTCCTGATGCTCTGAGGAACTCCAACAGCTTTCATTTTTCACTTGTATTTGGAGAGCCCATCCCCTTTCCTACTACGAGGTAGTAGGAGGTCTTTTAGGTGTGTTTTTCTGCCCAATGTTGTTGTATTTATTAGGGTTTTATTTAACTTTGACAGGAGTATGTGATCACAGTAGAAAATTCAGAGATTTGCAAAACATACAAGGTAAAAACCATTCTTGCAATTAAAGTCACCATGAGAGATGAAGACTTCCTAAACAGATGACTTTTAGGGTGGCAATGAATTTCTTTCTCAAATCATAAGGGAAGACCATTGGCAGGGTGCACATCCTGGACCTTGAGGGCCTGGCCCACAGGTCGGGAGTGGTCCTGAGCAGCCACAGGCCAGGTCTTCTTACTAGTGAATCAGGGACTGAGGGACACGGCAGGGGGCCCAGTAGTTAACGTGTTGGACTTTTACCAACATTTTGTTGAGCCTCCTGAGCTCACCCTTTATTTTCTCCCGGCTGCTGGGGGCTCGCACTGTGAGCCATGGTTAGAGCCAGGGCCGGCCTCCCGGGGCCTCCAGCTCAGGCTTCTGCCAGGGCCCCACCTGACACCACAGTCCGTGAGGCACACGGCCCCGCTTTTGTCCCTGGGCTCCCTGGCCCTGCTGCCTCTGCTTCTAGGCCTCAGTGTGATCGCCCCACCTTGGCATGGGATTTTGCAGCCCCATTTCTCACTGTGCTTCTCTGCCCCAGGCCCTGGGGACCTAATACCAAAGGGAGTGGCCCCACCCAGAGGCAGCCTTGACCGCATTCCAGGAGATGCCTCCGCTGACCCAGCCACCAAGCCCCGGCCATCAGAGCTGGGCTCCGGGGCCTGTTCATCCTCAGCCATCACTACAGCTCCTTCCAGCTCCAGCTCCACCTCCCGGCACCCAGGCCGCACCCACGGTGAGTCACGGGTCCCTCCAGAGCCAAGAGGGATGAGCATCTCGGCCCGAGGTCCTTCCCAAAGACCCACCTCGCAGGGGCAGGAGGTGCCTTTCAGACTGAGAGGTGGTCAGCAGGTGGGTGACTCTGTGGACAGGTTTGGCGTCCCACAGACACAGGTTCAGAGCTCAGCTCCACCTACAGCTGTGCGACTTTGGGAGGGTAACTCCGCCATCTAGACATCTGGGCCTGAGCCCTGGGACCCACACCACTGCTCAGGAATTGGTGGCACCAAGCGGCTTCCTAACTATGGAGGTGAACCAGTGTTTGGGCTAAACTCAGGCAACGTTGGAGGTTTTTTCTCCAGGGAGGAGACTTGACAGGGTCCCTGCACTGGAGGCCGGTCCATGGCATGGAGGGCAGGTGTCCTAGACTGAAAAACAAGGGGATTCGGGGAGGATTGACAGGTTGGATGTCTCCAGATGCCAGGAGCCCTGCGTGCTCACACCTTAGATGGGACATTACGGTCCTCTTCAAGGCATCTGATTAGCGGGAGACACTCCCAGCAGGGCAGTCGGGTCACATCTTCCAGGGGGAACCCATGAGAAGTCAGGGTCCCGGACACCTAGGAGCGCTTGCAACACCAGAGACAAACGAATGTGAGAGCAACAGGGTCAGCAGGCATTAAGCACAGAGACAAAAGCTTTAAAATGCCCGTCATGACAGCAGAGTAAGCCACTTTGCATGGTGCAACCAGAGCAGGATGCTGTGAAAAGTAGCATCTGGGGATGAGCACTGGGAAATGTAAAATATGCAACAGAGGGGAGAAATACAGCTTAAAACTTAAAAAGACATTCTGCTTATGACCTAGAGATGACAGCATCTGAGGACAGCAGAAGAGCTGGAAATGACGGCCCCGGAGGTGTTAGAAACTGACGAGAGAAGAAGCGGTTATGATTTTTCATCATCTTACCTCCCACTGGACCCTGGAAGCTATGACAAGCATAACCGTGGTTTGACAAGCCCAGCAAAGACAGACAGGCCCCCTGCCCTCTAGGCTGCCTGGCTCAGCTTCAGGACCTGGCCCCTGGTTTACAAATCAGAAGTACCCCTGGGAGGAGGTGAGGTGAGTGAGCACAGGGCAGGAGGGGAATACCACTGGATGAAAGAAGGTGAAGAGATTACCAAAAACATATACACATAACCCATAGACACACAACTGTGCAGTGATTGCCAGAGGGAAAGGTGAATGGAGGTGGGCAAGGAGGGGGGCATGGACGAGGAATGGGGACCAAAAGAGACTTTGCTTGGGGCAAGGTGTGTACAATGCTGTCTTCAGATGATGTTTTATTAAGTTGTACACTTGAAATATGTATGGTTTTGTGAACCAAAGTCACCCAATAAATTCAAATAAATAAGATAAAATAAATAAAAGATACTATTTAAAAATAGGCCTTACTTTCCAGTACGCATAGGAGCACCCAGTATAGCAACGTGGCAAGATCACAAATCTCAGTTATTTGGGACTTTGGTTCCCTTCAGAAAAAAGGATAAGTTCCACTAAGTGTCAATTCTATTTCAGATCCCTCTATTTCCCCAAGCACAGTACTTACTAGACATACTAGAGGCCCGATGCACGAAATCCGTGCAAGGGGCTTGGCCCCCCCGTCGCTGCCATGGCTGCCTCTGCTTCGGCCCCGTCCAGAAGGTCGTCTGAAAGGACTTCCAGTCTAATAAGCATATTACGCTTTTATTATTATAGGTAATTAGTATTTAATAAATCCTCAAATGCCAAAATGTTCTAAAATTGTTTAAGCCTAAGGACTGAAAATTAAAGACTGGACATCAAGGAGAACTTTCTTCAAGACCCAACTCTGCCATAAAAAGGCAGGGCTTTTATTACAAGGTTATTCTCTGTGGTATGACTGCTCTGAGTCACACTGTGGATGAGCCTACCATGTCCATGAACATGGGATGCTACAATGTCCAGTAGCTCCTTGGACTGAAGAAGACTGAATGCTGCTTGGATGGGTCTGTAAAAATCACTCTTCTTCTGCTAGACATTTTCTATAAGCTTTCAGTCCTTTTCCTGAATAATCAGAGTTAAATTACGTCTGGCAATAGGATCTGGGTCTATGACTTTGACCACTTCTAAGACACATGTCTTAAGAGCTTATTAAGAGCTATATTTTCCTCAATACAAATTTCTTTGAGCTAATTCAGGGGTGGGCAAACTTTTTGACTCGAGGGCCACAATGGGTTCTTAAACTGGACCGGAGGGCCGGAACAAAAGCATGGATGGAGTGTTTGTGTGAACTAATATAAATTCAAAGTAAACATCATTACATAAAAGGGTATGGTCTTTTTTTTTTTTTTTTAGTTTTATTCATTTCAACCGGGCAGGATCCGGCCCGAGGGCCGTAGTTTGTTCACGGCTGTTCTAGACAATTAACAGTCGCTTTGGGTCTTTATAATTTCCCAAGAACAAAATCCTAGGAGGGTAGGAAGCTAACTTTTTAATTAAAATAAAAGCTGAGAGCTTTTACATTGGCTTCGGCTTCTGAAGTATCAACAATAAGTGCAGGAGGAGCACTATCTCCCACCCTCCCATTGCCTAGAAAGCTCCATGGTGCTGGCATGGGCTCCTGCAACTTATGGGCAGAGACAGGCTCTGTGGGGGGCAGTGTGACACCGCGGAGCTCTCCCCTCTTCACACTGGGTGAAGGGTAACACGACAGGAGGAGTCGGCCACCGCTCTTGGAAGTGTCACCTAGGGGCCAGATTTACATTGAATCTGCTGAGGAAAGGGATCATCTTCCTAAGTGTTCTGATTCCTGGAGCTTCTCTCATCAAGAAACAGAAGCGAAGGGGTGGGCAGAGCAGGGCTGGAATGGACGGAGGCTTTGGGAGCCGCTGAGCTGTATCACAGTTGCCTTTCAGTGACACGTCCTTTTCCAAGAGGAAGGTGGGGTTTTTGTTCAAGTTTTCCTTCTGTGCTCTTCATGGGAACCAAGTACTTGGCTCACCCCCAAACCCCACTGCTAACAGGCTTTTTCTGATGCCTGATATTTGGGGAGTGCACCAGGGCTGGGGAACTGGGTGCCGTGTGCCCCAGTGAGTCCAGGGCAGACTGCTTGGTGGGGCGGAAGCAGATCTGCTCCTAGTGTGTCCCCGGTTCTCAGTGCAGTTCAGCTCAACACCAGCTGTGTGCAGGGAGGACTGGCACACAGTCCCTGTCCCCAGCTGTGACTGTGCAGGGGGACCAGCCCTGATGATACCTGGGGTGGCGCTGTGGGACTGCATGCGCTGGGAGCATGGACCAGGAGGGGAGGTCTGCAGGCCTGGAAGGGCCCCCCTGCCCTGGCCGGGTGGGGCCGCCCTCCCTGCAGCAGGTGCTCCCTCTCTGATCCCAGGGAGGCAGGGAGGGCTGCCCTAGACACACTGCAGCCAGGAGGGCGGCTGCCCCACACTTGTCACGGGGGAGGTCCGTTTCTTTTCCCTTTGGGGCAGATGTCAATTTGATACAAAAAAGAGAAGGAGCTGAAGGACAGCAAACAGCCACGGAAAGCGAGCACGTTCTTTCCTCCTGAGACACCAGCACCCGCCCCCTCGGACCACCGAGGGGAAGCAGGCACAGGCTTCATTGTCCACCCGTGGGCATGCACACTCTGTCCTGTGCTGGCTCCCGCCCTCACCAGGTGCCCCTGTCCTGGTCTAGGCAGGGTGTTTCCACGTGTTCTAGAAAGCTCCATGTGTAGTAAGGGTGGGCTCCCCACCCCTCCAATGCTTCACTTTCCCAGAGCCGCCCTGTTTGGTCTGTACCGGAGTTCTGGGTGAAATTTTCTTTGTTTGAGCCCAGCCCCAGACCTCACAGACACAGAAGCACAGGCTGTCATCCCGCACAGCCCATGCCCACTGTGCACGGGGCCTGGCACTCGGGAGGCGGGACCCTCCTGGGGCGTCTCCAGAATCCGGGTCTGTGCTCCTGGGGGCGCTCCTCTGAGCTGTGGCAGAATGGCTCTGTTATGTCCTTATTGTTAGACTGGAGGGCTTAGTCTGGGCTAGACTGGGTCATCGGCCCTTTGGGTTAAGGGTTGTCCTTTCCTCTCAGGGTCCCGGCCAGGCAGCTTAGAGAGCCGTAGGCATGCGTCCAGTGACGGCTCACCTCGGGGCCTGAAGGGTAAGTCTGCTTTCCTTCTGGGCACTTTCCAGTGCCCTTGGATCTGGGCT